TTTTTTTTTTTTTCGTATTGCAAACATTGGAATTGCAGACTATCAAAGAATTTTTTCTTTTTATTATTGCCGTCAATTAGTTTTTTATTTAACAGTTTTCAACACAAACAGCAGACAGTAATTGTTCAGTGACACTTAGTGCTTAGTAACCGTAAAAAAAAAAAAAGTGACAGTGGTACCTGTCACTTTTTCGCTTAGAACTTTCATATATAAACCAATGCATTGACCAAAGTTAAAATTCCAGAAAAATAGCCAACACCAATTCAGTTGTGATCGTAAGTTTTTGTTATCGGTTGTTAGGTAATTCTTGCTTTTCAGGTAAAATTTATGCTTTTATTTAATTAACATTTTAGCAGTCTTGATGGCTATTAGTAAACAAATGTCAAAAAATTAGAAAAAACCTTTTTTTAAGCATATAAAAAAAATTACTTTTTGATCTGTTTAACATTTTTTGTTACACTTTGCTAATTAGAGTAAAACAAATTTGTTTTTAGTCAGAAAAAGAAGAAGACGTTGAAAGACTGAAGCGTTAATATGTATCTTTTTAGATGGGAATGACAAAGATTGTTGAAACTGGAAACTTGTAAATAACAGTTAATATTGAATTCTCTAATAAACAATAAATGAAAAGTCCTAAAAATATTCACAATTTTTCTAATTCAATTTTGAATTTTGCACTCCAGTGTAGTCTATCTTTAGTAGTACCTCTTTTTTAACACTACAAAGTTACTGACATCGCTGATAATTCGTATGTGCTTTTAAAAATCATAAAAATCTGTTTAATGGTAACCTGAGAAGGTTAGGGGTTGTAGAAATGGCGGAAAAAAAGCAATCAGAGAATCAGATGGGGCTTATAGCAGCGACCTCATACATCGTGGGCACTATAATTGGATCTGGCATCTTCGTTTCACCTACCGCTATTCTGGTTCATGCCGGATCTATTGGACTGTCACTAATTATATGGATAGTCGGCGGATGTATTGCAATGCTAACGGCTATAGTTTAGTTGTTTTCGTGCCTCTTTTCTAGTTTTATCATATAACCAAGAACATGCCGGTTTATCCCACAATCGAGTATTTTCACTTCTTTTCTTAATCTGCACTTTTTTTTAATGTTCTCATCGAACTCGGAACAAGCATACGAGAATCTGGCGGAGAGTTCGCTTATATTACTTATGTTGGTTGGCATCCATTTGCATTTGCCTTTCTGTGGTCAACGACAATTATTACAAGGTGAAGGGCTCATTTACAACATTTTTAAAATTTTTGATATT